CCCCATGACAATCCTTGCAAAAACAACTTTGGGAAGTTCACGGAGGCTTGAAAAAGTTGACTCCAACAACCCCGTGTGGACTTTTCCAAGAAACCACAGCAAGATGTTTGTTTTTTCTGTTACTTGCCTTTTTCTTTTCTTTGCCCAAACAACTTCCTATCCCATCACGCTCGCTGCATGCAGGAAGGGCACGCCCCCTTACAAACAAACTTGAAACAACACTACGGCCCTGCGCAAATACACTCACGGCACCCTATGCTCCTCAATGAAGTGCACGCGTAGTGGAAGTGCACTTAGTGTTGGACAGTGCGGGTTGCAAGCAGACAAAATCGTATGCACATAGGTGAACTTAAATCTTCTATTGAAATTACACACGTACTAGTGACAAAATATGTAATAATCCAATATATAAGATGGAAATGACTTTTTTTTTTTAATTGGCTGGATGTTGCCATTTTGTCACTATTTTGGTCAAAGCCCCAATGAATAAGTAATATGCATCGGCTGAGGGGCCATGGATGCGTGCTCAGCCCAAGTATGGAACAAGGGTGCTAAAGGGGCGGGGCAATAGAGCACTTTGGAGAATTGGGACACCCTACACACTCGCACCTTGAGGGGAATGCAAAATTGAGAGGCACCAGGGTGCAACTGCGAGTACTTGGACAGGGCCAAACACACAACTCTTCTTCTTCACACACACAGTTGAACCCGCATCCCACATATGTGTACATCCTAATGCCCCCTATTGGCAGAACGTCACAACAAACCGGTGGCTGCAATGTGTGCAATGTGTATGTGGGCGCGCTCCTGCGTGAGAGAGAGAGAAAGAGAGAGAGAGAGAGAGAGAGAGAGAGAGAGAGAGAGAGAGAGAGAGAGAGAGAGAGAGAGAGAGACGTGTGTGTGTGTGTGTGTGTGTGTGTGTCGCATCCCACCCCTGCTGGCCTAACACATGACAAAGACACTTGTCCGCATTTCAGACCACCAGCAAGGACTTGACATGACGCATGCTGGCAGCTGTGCGCGTGTGTGTGTGTGTGTGTGTGTGTGTGTGTGCGTGTGTGGGCAGGATCTATCAATCAAGGCACCCTGACATTCTCAAATCCTTCACCTCCCTGCCACGTGAGCACACATGCACACAGTGGTGGTCCCCATCACAGAAGATCGCTCCATGACAACAGGTAGTGAGCAACATGCCCGTTTTAGAGACAACATCATTCCGGCCTTCTTTCCACTTTGGTCACGTGACCCCGAGCTCAGGTCACATGACCGCTTGAAGAAAAGTGGTGCTCGTACCAACTTGTGAGTGTGCGTGTTTGGGTTGTCCATTGACACACAGGCGTGCGTACGTAGAGCTACTGATGTTGAATGTTACTTTTGACACGTCAACGTCTGACACTTCCTGCTGCCCCTTGTTTGCTGCCTGTCAAGACACGTGCACGAGCGCAGACGCACGCACAAATACACGCAGACACACGAGGATATTGAAGAGAACTGAGAACGGAGACACGCGAGCGTCTACTTTGACTTGTGTGCGGTCACCATGGTTACCAGGGCAGCACGCTGAGATGTTTGCGGGCAGGAAGAAAATTCCTCAGCAGCCTGAACACTGCCCAGCCCAATACTTTGCGGGGTGGGGGCATGCCACCGAATCACCCCTCCTTACGGACCCCAGCTCTTTTCTTCGGGGAGCCGAAATGCTTTGTAATGTGGACAAAATTTAAGGCCCTGACTTAAAGCAATGTGGTGTTTTTTTCTGAAACGGACATGAAATGAATGCAAATGCAACGGTCCCTTTTGAGTGGCTTGGATAATTACTCTTCTGAAGCCAATTTAACGAAGGAACTATGGTTGGTAGCATGAGTCGACCCACAAAAAAAAGCCTCAAAAAAGCCCCAAAAGACACAGCAGGTCGGCCATTTTAGTTTCAAGCAGAATAGCAGCAAGGTTTGATGCCCCCTGTTAGCACCCCGGCGATTGTTTGATTTTTTTTTCCTCCTTTAATTTAGCTCCTGAAGCCAGTTTGGCTTTGCAACATGGAATTTGGTTGACATGTCTGTCATGAGTTAATCCACAAAAAAGCCTCAAGAAACCATGCCTGAAAAGAAACCATTTTGTTTGGTTGTTTTTTAATGTGCCCGTTTTGGGCTAATTTTGGCCTAGGCTTTTTTGATCCCATCAGAGGTGGGGGGTTTTTTTTGTTTTGTTTTTTTCATTTAGCCCCTGAAGCTAGTTTGACTTAACGACAAACAATTTGGTAGACATGTCTACCATGATTTGACCAACACAAAACAAGTCTCAAGAAAGCATCCTCAGAAAAACACAAAAGGTCTGCCCTTTTCTTTGGGTGCTGATATTTTCAGTTCGTCTATTAGCAGGACTCAACATGTCTGGATGCCGACGACAGACACAAAACCATTGCTTGTGTTCAAGATGCCACTTAGCATATTAGCATTTAGCAGCGAGAGTTCAACATTCCACAAGAGGAGTGACCTTCAACAGTTGCTGTGACACCAGGGGAACATTCTAAAAGTCTGGCCAGAGGCCGGCAGAATTCCTCGCGTTGCGCCCCCAAAGCGCTAACGCTAGCTAGCCAAAGTGCCACTTGACAGAAACTTTTGGAGCTGCACAGTAACAAGCATTTTTTTGTGGAAAACATTTCCCCAAAGTCACAAATGCAACAAGGCTAACCACGGAAGAGTTCAGCTCAGCAAGCAGCAGCGTCTTTTGGCTTCCGACAGCTGGCAGAGCTCCAGACTGCCCCTAAATGCTGCCCCAAAATTTGGAGATAGCATAAGTCCATTTTTCATGTGTGACCAGTACATTTCGTGATTATTTGTTTCAACTATTCCTTTGGTGTGTTTTTTTTTTCTTGCAGACAACCCCCTACTCCATACTTAAGCCCATTTGTCAGTAATACTGTAAAAATGAATGGAAACATTCCTGAACATTTATACAAGTGGAATTACAGTGTCTGCTCTTAAATTTTCAAATTGCGACCCTAAAATGTCAGGTTAGAGGCCACTGTGTTCTGTCGAACCTGCCAGTGCTCACCCAGATTTCATGTGAAGAGATTTGCCTCACAGTCACGCATTCACACATTTCCCTCATCCAAGTAATAAGCTTAGATTCCCTCACAGTCACGCATTCACACATTTCCCTCATCCAAGTTGATGTCGTATAAGCTTAGATTCCCGTTGTTTCCCGACTGAAAATAAACAAATAAAATGTTGAAGCTGTCATGACGTTAAAGAACCACAAGAGCTAATTCGGTACATGAACGAGCGATTGTTCAGGTGCGTCAAAAGTTGAACAGTCAACACGCGCACGGCGGTGTGCTCAGCTGTGTTGACCTGTCCTCATCCTCACACCCGTGTGCGTGCGTGTGAACGATCACACACCTTCTGACGAGACGTTCACGCGCGTGTGCATGTAATGAGGTCACACATCAAGTTAGATTGGGACCCCTGCCGCCCTTCAGCCGGACAAAAATAACCCCGCGCACGCGCACGGAAGCACGCATGTTCCCTCAGTGCACCTGTTCATCTGGCGACCAAATACACACGCACGCGCGCACGCACGCACACACACACACACACACACACACACATGATAATGTACAAGGCGCGCGCGCACGATAGCGAGTCTATCATGTACCGCACAGGCCAGTATGAAAGGAGGCTTCCCCGCTAAATGTCGCCTTAAATTTTCAAATTGCGCCCCTAAAATGCCAGGTTAGAGGCCGCTGTGTTCCTAATGACAAAAAAAAAAAAGTTAGTAGTCTGGAGCACTGGCAGCTTCTGTCGAACCTGCCAGTGCTCACCCAGATTTCATGTGAAGAGATTTGCCTCACAGTCACGCATTCACACATTTCCCTCATCCAAGTAATAAGCTTAGATTCCCTTTGTTTCCCGACTGAAAATAAACAAATAAAATGTTGAAGCTGTCATGACGTTAAAGAGCCACAAGAGCTAATTCGTTACATGAACGAGCGATTGTTCAGGTGCGTCAAAAGTTGAACAGTCAACACGCGCACGGCGGTGTGCTCAGCTGTGTTGACCTGTCCTCATCCTCACACTCGTGTGCGTCCGTGTGAACGATCACACACCTTCTGACGAGACGTTCACGCGCGTGTGCATGTAATGAGGTCACACATCAAGTTAGATTGGGACCCCTGCCGCCCTTCAGCCGGACAAAAATAACCCCGCGCACGCGCACGGAAGCACGCATGTTCCCTCAGTGCACCTGTTCATCTGGCGACCAAATACACACGCACGCGCGCACGCACGCACACACACACACACACACACACACACACATGATAATGTACAAGGCGCGCGCGCACGATAGCGAGTCTATCATGTACCGCACAGGCCAGTATGAAAGGAGGCTTCCCCGCTAAATGTCGCCTGTCTTTCTTGTACGGCGGCGAGTGCGTGCACGAGCACTCTCTCTTACAGCGGTGAGACGCGCGCGCGCGCGCACACACGCACCGAAAACCCGCACGTCGACACTGACCGCCGTGAACGTTGTTGCTGCCCGACTATGTTTTCCTCTTGCGCTCTCCGGGAAAGAAGGACAAGAAGAAGATTGCGAGCGCAGTAGTGGCTCCGTGGCGTCGCTTCAGGCCGGCGGCGTCGGGAGCGAACCTTCGGCGGTCCGGTCGGTCTCGGAGCTTCCTGGCGGCAACGCGCGTTCGCGAATGTCGGCCGGCCGAGCTCCACAATGGAGCAATACATGCAGGGGCGGGGATAGAGGCGACGAGGGAGGGGCCACCGCGAGGGGGCTCCCCCTTACTTTCCACCCGCTTCCCCCTTCACCCTTTCCTCTCACTCCTTTCCTTGTTTGCTCCTCTCATTTTTTTCTCCACTCTTCTTCCACGTCATGATTTCGACGCTGCGTGCCTGCGTGCATGACCACGCGATGACGTCATCTTCCACCCTCCTTTTTCATTGATTTTGAATGACCGTGTTAACACTTTGTGTGTGTGTGTGTGTGTGTGTGTGTGTGTGTGTGTGAGTGTGTGTGTGCAGCTCACTAGACTAAAAATTAATAAGATCGACAAACAGTGCAGAAATGTAAAACCTGCAAAGTTGGGGCAGTCACAGTGTGCCACTGTGAGTTTATCATTTAAGAGAAGTGTGCAGTTGCTACGGAGACCCGAAAGCATCCGTCCCAGCGCCGTCCTGCCTTTCAGGCCTTGTGGGCGGGTGGAGGGCCCTGACTCCTGAATAACACCCCTGGGCCGGCAGGTCAGAAGAACGTGACATCCAACATGCCTGCTCGGAATCTTTTCAGGAGTCGACTTGAAGAGGAATGTTGAACAACAAAAGGACGACAAAGAACGAGGTCACCTGAAGGTGCTCAGCTTGCGGCAAGTGACGCGATGGGGCGTCGATTATCTGCGTGGGTTAAGCCGTTTGCTTGTGAAATGTTTGAAAAAGCAAACATCTTTTGTCCGGGCTAACAGCAGAATCGCCTTCAAAGGACCTTTTTAAAAAGCGAGCCTTCTCAGACTTGATCAACATAAAAGTTCCATTTGTGAGGCTTGCAATTGAAATAAAATCTTAGTAGTACAAGTCGCATGCAGTTGTCAACTAGTGCAGTTTTGCCTCACAAGCAACGTGCCGTTGTCCTGCTCATATGCCAAAGCTGCCTACTAGTGCTCACTAATGGCAAAGCCATTCGTCATAAGAAACAGTCGTTCAACTACTGCACTGCATTGGTTTGCTCGAGAGGACAAAGCGCCTAGTTGGATCTTAAAAAGCTGCGAAAGGGAATTTCGCAATTTGCATGTCAATCGCTGAGAATAGATGTAATAGTGAGGCACACACAGAACGTAAAACAACTCTAATAACTTCCTTTGTATCAGCGATGCAATTGCAATGTGCACTTCAATCGCTAGCTACGCCCGTGCCCCGGAAAATGCACCCTCCATCGGCTAGTCTGCTGGCATTGCTACTTTAGAGCACTTTGTTGTCGGCCGTGAGTGGGTGCATGCCACAAAGAGAGAGAGAGAGAGGAAATAGCAAGCGGTCCTATTTGACAATCAGTCTGAACTTTCACTGGCCGCTTTTGAGCGAGCGCCTCGTTGTTAAGGCGACAAAGTGCCTCATGAGAGCCTGCTGGGAAATAGTCCTGCCACCGGACGCTTCATGCAGCTCCATTTTTGCACAAAGGCTCAATTATGCTTAAAAATGTAGTGATGTGAAACGTAGGAAAGATGCGTGGCAAAGGAACGTCTATTTTTTTAGGTTGTAGGAGTACTATTTGATTGACATTGATAGTTGAGCAGGGCGTGGTTTCAGCGCAAACAGCAGACACACGTCCACAGCGTTTGAGAGCCGAGACAATGGCATGCTTTTTCAGGCCTTGTTTTATAGATGTTCAGATTTTTTTCCACTCAACTTTTGGCAGGCTTGTTGACAACACTCTTGTTCTTTACAAGACATTTCCGTTTGACTATGCAGGGACTTTAAGAGTCTTTCCGATTCATCCCACAGTCGAAGAAGGCGAAAAAGAAGATGCGACGTCAGCCGACAGACTTTGGAGAATGCTCTGGTGGCAACAAGCATGCGGCAGCATGCCCGCAGGTGGGCGGGGGCCAACGGCCCGG